ATCGGTTGGGGAAGATGGGGAATGAGCAGCCCAAGGTCTCCCCGAGCTCCCCACTGGAAAGGATGCTCCTCATCTGGGACGGGGGTTATTACCCGTACAGACGGGGACGAGGAAGAGTTGTGCACCAGGTTTGTGTCTGGAATGGGCTCGGATGACCCACACAGCTGGTAGACCAATTTGGCCTGCAATGGGGACCTTCAACTGTGCCTTATTAAAATCTTTGAGATCGAAACGAAAACCTTTCCATCTGCTCTGTTGGTTCTGCTGGGCAGGACTTTCTAATCCCGAGTGTAACTTTCAATTCCTCCACTAATTAGGTAAGTTCTTGTGTGAGCCTCTTGCTCATTTCTACTCCCAACTTTCTATGTATGTGTGTGTGCGCGCGAATGTGTGTGTGTTCTCCTTTCCCTCAGCTCTCTATAAGTAAGGAAACGGGATTCCTTTTCAAGGGATGTCCTTAGACCTTGGGACCTTCTACCCCTAACCCTGGATTTCCCTAAGTCTCAGCCTGTATAGCTGTTAGAATTATCTCTCACCACTTCGTTTCTGAGCTGGGATCAAAGAGACAACTGGCAGTTGCACAAAATTCAGCTCTTTATTCTTCACCCAAAAGCCAAAGTGGTGAGGGTAGGCTGATAGGTGGGCGGCCGTGCCTGACCCCCTCCTCTTGGCACAATGGATGCTTTTTGTTCGGCCCTGCTTTAGAATACCACCCCTTCCTCGGCCCCCCCGTGTCCCACCTCAGCACCATTCTGTACTAGGAACTTCCTTCCTTCTTTCCAGGCCCCTCGACCCTTAACTAAGCACCTTTTCCCCAGGAAAAATATCCTTGGAATGTAGACCTTACCTGGTGTCTGATGGGGAAGATGAAGGTTGATATCAGCAAAAGTGGAGTTAATTAATAAAATGGGAGTCAGACTGGGGTCATAAACTTTCGGGCTCACACTCCTCACCTAAACATGTCAACAATAAACCATTAGACTCGCATTCCTTCACAGAACATGTCAATGAGCTCTATGATTAAGGATGCAGACTGCTTAAAACAGGAAAAGGCAGAGATAAACTCAGACAAGACTTAACATAACAAATGTTCCAAGGCCACCAGGTGTCCCAGATGCAGAAAACCCCAAGTTGTCATGGACACTGTCACATGTATGGGTTGAAAATGTATAATATTATTATGGGATATTAGATTTAACCAAGCCATTTCAGTTATTTGTAGATGAAAGGCAAGGAATAGCAGCTGGAATGCTAACCCAAAGGTGGGGCTCCTGGGAACGATCTGTGGCTTATTTTAACAAACAAATAGACCCTGTAGTGCTAGGATGGCCAGTGTGCTTGCTGGTGGTGGCAGCAATTTTTATGTTGGTGAAAGAGGCAGAGAAATTAACTTTGGGGCAACCTTTGACTGTAAATGTCCCACATGCAGTGCTTACTGTTTTGGAAAGGAAGGGCTCGTGTTGGCTAACAAGTGGCAGGATGGCACAATATCAGGTCACCTTGTTAGAGAACCCGAATGTCCAACTTGTGGTCAGCAATAAATTAAATCCAGCAAGCTTTTGCCCCAGTGTGAGGAGGCTCTAGACCAGACCTTCTCAAGTAGAGAGGATTTGAAAGATGTACCTCTGCAGAATCCAGAGTGGGA